GAAAATATTGCCTACCCTCAGTCCATCAGCTACTGGACAATTATTCAAGGCCCAGCTGTAAGAAAAACAGATGGTGAGTGAGCATTAGTACCCTGGACTTCTTTGCACTCATGCAGTCATAAGCAGAGGTTGTAGGTTCTCAAATGAAAATTGCCATGAAATCGCAGACAGGAGCAAAATCGTGCAAAGATTCCAATTTATAAGATAACAGATGCTTAAAATTTTCAAGAACTCAAGTCAGATTAACTGATTTTACAGGAGAGCCACAGAGTGAGTACTGTAAAAGGAGCAGGCAGAGAAAGGCAGTGTTCTCATGATTGGTTTAAGCAGGGTCACCATAAAACATCAGTTATTGAATTCTACTGGCATACCTGAACCTGTGAAGAGTCACTGAAGTATAAAATGCAAAAACTAGATACTCAGAACTGCAACTGCAATGGTGGCATTCAGCAATTGATGTGATTTTGCTCTATTGAAAAAGTTAAACTGTATCCGGGAACTGTTTGAATTGTTCATCCATTCAATTTTTTACACCATTTTAGCACAAAGATAATCTGTTCTAATCCTTATTCCATTATTGACACTATTGACTGCATCAATTGAAATTGCTACCAAATAAATCAACGTTGCATTAAGCCATGAAGAAACAATGTGATAAAAAGTCTTTCAGGCTCCTATAAATCATCAGATCCAGAAGCATGACATAAGTAACTGAGAGGGGAATTCAGCTTTTCTCCATAGCCACAATGCTTAAGGCCCAAATAAAATTACACTAATTTACCATGTAAGCAGTAATGGAATAGCTGAGGTAGAGATGGAGGTTTTGTTGGTTTCTGCTTTGTTTTCATGGTGGATTCGTTTCATCATTGATATGAGAGCTGTACCATGAACTACTTTGTTAAAGACAGAAAAGGTTGATATTGAAGTTTCAGTTCAATTGTTTTCGATCTGTGAATGTCCACTATGAGCAATTGCTCCATTTAAGAGGAATTACCCTTTGTACAAACCACTTCACTATTTAAAACAAAGCACATCTATCATCATTAAACAGAAAAAAAAAATACGAATTTTAAAATAATGACAGCAGCATTGTACACCGTGACATGGAATATTCCGTGATGTTGCAAAACAAGTTTGTTTTGTCACTTTACTCAGAAAACCCCAAAAGAATAACCAGCAAAACAGACCACACGAAAACATCAGTTAACAGAGCTAAGCCTCCATTAATATATCCCAAATCCCAATTTACCAGCGGTCGACATTTTGTTGCAAAATTACTTCAGTTTAGCATTTGATATAAACTTGTAGTCAGAAATTTGGTTTTGCGTTGATGTGCCATATTAAGGATAAGAAGAGAAAACACATGCATGCAGCTGTTTCTAACCCCATGAGATGTTACCAAAAGATAGGGTGCACTACAAATGCAACTTCCCTTCTCCTGTATCTCTAAATATTGACACTAGGGAAAATTGTCACCCAAAAGCATCCACACTTTCCCAGCTGGCCTTGTCCTTTCAGTGACGCAGTGAAAACTTGCAAGGCAAAGCCCTCAAATTTCTCCCTCGGTTCATTGCTGCCACTGACACAGGCACTTTGGGGTGATGCTCTTTGAAAAGTCACTCTGGATTCCCATGGTTAGAACCCTATAATCAGAACCATCTTATTAAGAAAATGTCCACATAATTTCAGACCATTTCAAACAACTAACTCAGAAGAATTCTTCAGTTTCTGTTGGCTTTTTGAAGTCAATGTCTTATCGAGAGTTAATGTATAACATGACCTAGGCCTCTATCCTTTATTCATTTTCAACTTTATTTTCAAGAGTTAAAATATTGTTAGGTAAAGCATCCTCCATGCATAAATTGTTTAAAAAAATAATCAGTTCCTCACTTGGCTCTTAAAACATTACACACATGAGTAAAGTGAAAGATATCAGAGCAAATAGTCAAGTTTCTAACCCTGGAAAAAGTAGTGCAGCACTTCTGTAGCACACTGTGGTAAACAGTTTATCCTCAACAAACTGGCCAAATGATGTCACTTGCACAAAGAAATTATGGCCAATTTTAAATGACTACCAAAGCACAGATTTTTCCTAATTATTCATTCAGTTCTACAGAAAATCAGCATCCTTGTGGCTATGAGGATAAATAAATATTTAGTGACAAAGAGTGGCTTCCTCATCTTGAGAAGAATGCAATGCCTTTCACAGTCTTCCAAGAAAGACACATGTCCAATTGTAAAATTTGCACCTGACAGAATACCAATGTAAATACACAAAAATAGGAATAATTATCTTCATAAGCTCTAAATAGGCAGTAAAGTTTAACAACTGACTTATAACTCAGTTATAATACAGATGTCAGAGTTCATTTTAATTGAGGTGCAAGTGAGCAGACATATCTCAAGTGCAATTTTTAGAGAGGAAAAAAAAATACTTGATAGCTTCACAATATCTATTTACTGCTGGTCACAGGTTGCACAGGCAGGGGGGATTCACTAGTTATTAAGTTGCCACATAAAGCTTTTGGGTTACCTGTATTTAAGATCGATAGACAGCTTGATAGAGAGAGAAAAACATTTACAGTTTCACTAAAATACTGATATTTGCAGTAAACGTACAAACCAAGTCTTTTTGTCTCTTCGTTCTAAACTATCTGATAGGGGGAAAATAGCAAAAAACCCAAGTAGATTGTCATGGTAAAAGTTTATTAATGCTTTTCAGAAAAACTTCAACTTATTATTCCTTTACTGCTTAAAGCCAAAACCATGTTATATTAGCTTTGCAGGTGATGTCAACTCAGTCCTCTCTGCCTGGATAATTTTGAGATAAAGTAGCATTGATCCTAAAGAAATACTTAACCAAATGCATAAAATAAGAGACCATATGTGAATTAAGAACATGATTATCTGACTCTCTAGGAATTCAGAATAACTAAAATGCCAACCAGCGATCAAAAGAAGCAACAAGCAGAGAATTTTTGAACCTGCCACAATTTTCATCACAAATTTAGCAGACTTTTCAACCTCTTATATAATTGTGATTAGCACACACAGGATGATTCTAAACTGACAATAGGATTAAGGAGATGAGAAAAACACTTTAAAAAAAATTCTTTCAGTGTAGTAGTTAATCCACTTAAAGAGTTAAAAATTATCCGCTAGATATAGCGCTTTGTAAAGTGCATTAGCAATCACTTCTCATCTTCCTCTCAGATGGAACAGAGGCAGCTGAATTCCCTGTTTTAAAGTATTCATTAGAGTTGCACAGTTTCTTAAACCTTAAAGCAGTGCCATGCCATAGATGTGTTTGCATAATGATACTGCAATATCTCACTGAGGAAGGTTATTGGAGCACCCAGCCTCATCTTCATGTTATCCTTCATCAGCTCCCTGTGTGGCCATGTTGACCTCTCACCTGAATTCCCATTTTTCCTTTCAAAAGCCCTATCTTTATCACACAACTTGTTCTTTGGCAAACTCAAAACAACAAACCCAGAACAAAACACAGGAGTACATTTTGTATGTAACCACCAAGTGCACAAGTCACACTGGATCATTAAAGCTGATCTATAAATGCCATTCCCAAAACAGATCCGGAACACAGAACTACCAAGAACGTACATTTTACTTATGGCATGCAAATTACTGAAATTTAAACACATCACATTTATCTGATGCAAATTTTAATTGCAGACATATGAATCCCTCCCACATGCATGGATAATCTAGGGCGCACGCAAGAATCTGTTATTATGCACTCCTAAGCTGCAAGTCAGAAATGGTTTATACTACACTACAGCAGAAAAAAAGAAGAAACCTACAGGAAGGTTTTATTCTGAAAATACTGGAGCTCTCTTCTTTCAGCAGTAACAGAAATGGAAATATCCTCAAATAAAAATAAGCTTTAAATCTATTTTATCTATTTCTTAGGAACAAAATAATTATCGTACTACATATTTCAGGCTTTTGTGAATGCAGAAATAAAGTTCGACTTCCAGGGAAGTCAATATGCACAGAAACTGTTGTAGTGGAAGTTGGAAGAAATGCCCCTATTTGTTACAGTAGGCACAAGAATATTTTTTTCTCCTGAAGTTACAAGAGAACTAATAGGATAGACTGGATTAATAATTTTTGCATGATAACATATTTCTGCCTTGGCTCTACACACTTACTAGATGACTCTGTAATGGTGGATTCAGTTATAAAATAGAGTAGGATACAAACATGATTCTAAATTGCTAGTTAAAAAAAAGTGCTATTATACAGTTATTTCACACTATAGCAGACAGGGAGTACTAATTATTAAATAATTTAGGAAGAGAGAGTGGGAGGAAATACTTTAAAAAAATCCTCTAAGCAAAAATTAAATTATTTTTTTAAATATAATTGAAAAATGAGTAGAAATTGGTATTGCTTTGCTGATACCCAAACATTTTTTTTTAACCCAATCCAATACACTTCAGCGATAGAAGTGTTTTGCACAGATACATCTTTATAAATCATCGTTTTCACTGTGAACTAAAAATCAGCTTGGCTTTAATCAGCAGCATGCTTTAACACAGACTTAAAATTCCTGTCTTCAAAGAAGGCTTAAACAAAATTGCCATTGGGCACATTTACATTAGAAGTATAATTTATGCCTGCAAGTGAATAAAGAGCAGTCCTTTATGGCTGAAACTCTGCTACAGCATCCACGAGAAACGCGGGCACAGTACTGTGTTAAATATCTATAAACATCACCAACAGACACACAGCAAAAAAAAAAAAATAAAATAAACCAACAGCAAAATACCAAAAGATATGCGAAGGCTCGATGCTCTGTTAAAACATATTTTCTACTCACTCTCACATTCTTAAGTGCAGGCACAACACTCGCTGCACACGGTGGGAGACATTTATACAATCTATTCACACAAAAAATACCTCCCCGCCTGCAAATCCCCCGAACGACGCTGACAAAGCAAGCACTGCGAGGAAAAGGAAAAGTTAAGCAAACTTACCTGCTGTAAGTACATAAAAGTCAAGGCACAGGAGAGCTGGGGACACATGCCCACATTCGGCAGTGCCACGCAGGTTGCACCCGTAAGGGGATGCTGCATGGTGTTGCTCTGAAGTCTACGTAGAACAAGTGAGGGGGCTTGCATGCAAGCACGTTTGCCCTATCTTGTCACTATGGGTTGGCTGTTATTTTTTTTTTCTCCTCTCCCTTTTGATTATTTAAATAAAAAACGGGGTTTCTCGGCTGCCTTTCCTCTCCCCAGCGCTAAGCCCCTACATTCGTTTGTCAGCTAAGGCAACTTGGTAGGTTTAAACTACGAATTTTTAACCGAGAGGAAAAAAAGAAGACACAGCCTGCAGCCTATTGATGAGCAAATGGAACTTCCTCAATGACAGAGAGCTGAAGCTTGTCTCACAACAGTAGCTGCTGACTAGGAGAGAGAGAGAGAGAGAGAGACTCAGTGAGGCTCAGTCGGCTGGTGCTGATGCTGCACAGCTTCTCATTTGTCAAATGGGTCCTAGGGCAGGGTCTTTACCACTCACCAAAATTCAAATACTGCATTTTAAAAATCCCTGGAGAGGATAGGAAAGGAGAGAAAGTGAGCGCGCTGCATCGCAGGCATCCATGAGATCTGGGCAATTAGTGTCATTGCCCAGCTGGGACTGAATGCCTGTTATGATTCTGCACGCACACAGACACACTCACACCCTTCCCCCCTCCCAGGACTCACACCTGACTGGAAAAGGGCTTTCCCCTTCTAAGAACACAAGTATGAAGCACAAAAGTGGGAAAGGGAAAGAATCTTGGCTAGTCAAGAGGATTCCGGCAAATACACAGCCCTATCAGCAAATGAGCTTTTTTAAAGCACAAATTAATTTTATATCTACATTTCATTCGCTGTCCAGCTTCCCAAAGAAGCCTATGAAAGCATTACAGTGAAACTGTGCAGGAGCTGTGTAACCACTGCAGCAGAAACACTGGGAATGAAACAGGATTCTATGGCATACTGTGTCTACCTTACAGGGGGAGGGGAGCACACTTGGAGAAAGACTGTATCTTAAAATTGGTCTAAAGCCCATCTCATCTAAAATTACAAATTTATTTGACAGCTAGTCAATCTATTATCAAGGAGTGCCCTATCAGGTTACATGGAAAAATTACATTTGCAATTTTCAGAATTTAATGTTTACTTTCTACTTTGAGAACGATACCTCAAAATTAGTATTCCACTCTTGCCAGCTTTATATTCACCCCCCCCCTTTATTTTATGGAGTAATAATTATTCATTAGTAGATCTAGTTAGTCTTTATGTAATAAAGTAGGATGTGACCTGCAAATCAAATAATTTATACTACAGCTTGTCCTTGAGGTCCTATATTACAGATCTTTTTCTTCCTAAGATACAACTCAAGTATAACAGAAGATATTACTATTTTTAATTAGAATTTGACAAATGAATTAAATATTAATTCTTCAGGAAAGAAGGTCAAACCTCAAAGAACCACCTAAGGTTTTGAAGGGGTTCCTTCTTTTAAAAGGACTCTGAGGAAAATTTGAAAATCACCTATTTTATAGGATACATAATTCCCACAAAAACACATCTGAGACCAAGAGTTTAATGCTAACAACAATAAGCAAATAACCCACATACAAGAAAAGTCTATTTCATCAACAGCATAACTGGTTTGATATAACATCTACCCTTAAAAACAAATAATAGTCCCCGCTAAACTGGAAACAGAATCAAACCACGTCACTGCAACTCAGGTGCTACATTAAAAAAAAAAATAATTTCTTTTTCATTTTACATGTGCACACATACCTGCACCCACACAAGCCTCAGAGACTGATTTAGATCCACTAAGTCTTCTTCATGCAAAACTGAGTATTTTCCAGCAGGATCAGTTATTACGTCATTTTCTTTTTCAAAAGCAGTCAATGCCACAAAACCAAGGTACTCATAACTCGGTAATCAACACCAAAACAATCATGCACAAACTTACAATAAAGGAATTGGGTTTGGCTTAGGAAACATCCATGCTTTTGCAGTTTATCATGGACTCATCTACTTAACAGCCCAGATTATTTCATCACACAAAAAAAAAAAAAAATCACCAAAAAAACCAAACAAAAACCCCAAACCACCAACCAAAAAACCTCTCATGCCACAGAGCAAGAGCGAGTGAGGAGGAGGAGAAATGAACCCTCTCTGTGCCCTTTCTCCTTTTTTCATTCTTTCTCTGTGCCTTAAGCAGTCTCCTGTTCTGACAGGAGTATGTCATGCTTTTCTTCATTCCTTTTATTTTTTTCTAGCCCAGAAAGGCTGTTATTCTGCAAATGCCCTAAGCTGAGAGAAGTTTTTCCTCAGTTCAGTTTCATATGAAATACCATAAATAATACATGGCACTTTAATGAGACCTTATCAGCATGTTTAATGAAAAACAAATACATTATGTAAGGTAACCAACTCCTTCTACATTATGTCAGAATCAAAGGCAGCATACTTCCTAGCCAAACAGTTTGGAACTATATAAGCCTATCCAATTTCCCAAAGTGAGGTTCTGGAACATGGTGATGGTCAAGCAAAGCTTCTTCTGTCTACTGCACTATTTTACAGCTAAAAGGACATCCATAAAACAGATTAAATTCTTAAAAGCAGTGTGTTGAACAATTACTTCAAGAGAATTTAGCACTGTCAATGTAGCTAACAGTCATTGTAGAAGTGAATTTCTCATTGGCCTTTTAGCCTTAATTTTCACCCAATTCAAAGTCAGAAAAACATGACTCACAAATACCATGAATTCCTGACATTTACATAATTATGTTGTTAAAACAAGAACAGCAATATCTTAACTATCCAAATCATCTGTACACAGAGAAACAATAAACATACATAATTCAGTAGTGTAAGAGACCTAAAAAAGAAACACAATTCTTTAGCCTGATATATGCTCCTTCAAGAGATGCAGGGGAAAGTCATTACCAATTTTCATCCCTTCCAAGGATAACTTGTCATTATGTCTAAAAAGGAAAAAAGGTAACAAAGTGTGTTTTATTTTTATAAGTACAAAATCAATGTCTCTTCTTTAAAGCCATTTCCTTGTTTACACACACTTTTGTCCCTAACCCAGCCCATTAATCACCCCACAGTCCCAGTTATGGCTATATATACCCTAAGTGCCACCACAGCTGTGCCAGGGGACAGCAATGCCTGTGCACAGCCTGACCTTCCCTGGCCCTGCAGCAGCACCATGCATTCCACAGAGCAGCACAGACCCCAGAGCATCCCATCTGCAAATGGTTAACAGATCCATTTTGCCTTCATTCTGCCACAGAGAGTGGGCAATTGCCAAGGCCACTTCTCCTCCAGCACATGACATTTCCCACCATTATTCAGCCCTCTTGGGGCAGGAACTGAACTCACCCCACAGTCAGCTGCTGATATTATCAAGTACCTATTGATTAACAACAAATATCAACATTTTACAATTTTAAAAAAAAAAGAGGGCAACCATCTACACTGCCCACATCAGCCTTTGTGGGGGTTCCTAGAAACATTCCAGGAGATAAAACCTTCTTCCACACTAATAATGGACACATCTGAAATGCAACAACTACTACACCACCAGGAGAGGCAACACTCCTTCCTCCAGCCTCTTTGGGAGTTCCTAGAAACATTCCAGGAGATAAAACCTTCTTCCACACTAATAATGGATGCATCTGAAATGCAACACCTACTGCACCACCAGGAGAGGCAACACTCCCTCCTCCGGCCTCTTTGGGCTGCCCATGTCGTGGTTTATGGCACAGGCAGAGAACTTGCAGGCAGACACCTTCTCCCCACAGTCAGTGAGAAGACCATTTGAAAAATGCCACCAGCAAAGCCTGGACCAAACTTGAAAATGCAAATAGAAACATGAAACAGAGAAATTCTGCAAAAAGGACCAACAACACTTCTCACACAGCTGACTTAGAAATCCAAACCCACTGGTATTTGCAATGCATCTGTTTGTTTAATGTAACACTTTCTATTTAAAATCAACCACTCCGTTGTTGTGACCTGGTAGGCAACCTCAAATTGAAGTTCAAATTTTGCATTTCCAAACTTTTGACCTAGAAGTCAACCTTTGGAATTACCACAGCAGAGTGAATAACATTCCAGCCATTTCATCAAGTAAAGGAAGGCTCTGAAACACATCACCTGCACCACCACACACCATCTCACGCTTCAAACTCATCTCAGTAGTAGCCTACATTAGGAAGTTCACACATAGAGGATCAAGCATCAGAAAAAATAAATCACAACTGCATATTAAATGCTCCATGTGAGGAAGGTAGTTTCTTCTCAACTTTATGAAGTGGTTGGTATGGTACAAAAATAATTCAGACAAGTGGCATAGAATCTAATAGTAGAGCAGTCCCTTCTCTAAATCCTCTTTTTCTAACACCACATGAAAAAATAGCTCCCTGGACTTGAAACCAGGAAAAGCAGCATATTATAAAATTGAATAGATCAGGAACATATTTTGATGAATTACTATCAATTATCAATATCTCTGCCTGTATTTCACATAGTATTCTATTTCACAGTGGATATACCGTATCTTTTTTTTTTTTTTTAAGTGAGGAAACATAACAGAATTTTTTAATATTCTGTACTATCAAAAATAATAAATAGGGCTTTCCTCTGTTCTGGTAAACTAAAAGGCACCATCTCATCCTTCCAGTGGTATTTTCCTATTATGACTGTCCCTATTTTTAATATCAGGTTTATCTCTCCTTTAGTAAGTAGTTTTTTTGCACAAAGATCAGGACATTACAGAGGCTCATGCTTACCTCAGGCAAGCAAGAATCACTAATTTTCTGTTTCTATTAAGCACCGTGTTACATCCATTGACTTCTCCAGTACTTCATACCCAATCTCCTCAAACCCTCTGTAGCACAGAGTTAACCTCCTCAGCACCACTCAACACAAAAACACTCAGCATTAACTCCGGATTTTTCACAACAGAAGCAGCCAGGAGCCCTTACTTCCACCAAGGGGGGAAAGGCAAGAAAATAAATAAAACGTTCAGCCTTTAGAGAGTTAGGGGAGTGCGTTCCTTGGCGGGGTGATCTCACTGCTTTGGAGGTGATATCCTTGTTTTGGGGTATCCTGTAGGGAACCTCGGGGGATGCAAACACCCCTGGTGTGTGTATCCCGTGGGGAAGCTGGGGGGATGCAAACAAGGCTGGTGTGGGTATTCTGTAGGGAACCTGGGGGATGCAAACCAGGCCGGTTTAAGCCCCGCGGGCGGTTCGGGTGCGTGCGGAGCGGGGCCGGGAGCGCTCCCGCTGCGCTCCCGCTCCGCCGTTCCGGGCGCTCCATCTAGCGGAGACACGGCTCATTCCTTCCAGGGGACACGGAACTTTCCAGGGGACACGGAGCCTTCCAGGGGACACGGAACGGACCCGGACACAGCCGGCATTCCCTGCGGACAGCTCTATCCCGAGCGCCCCGAGCTCTCCCGGATCCATCCCCACGGTCCCTGCTCCCTTCTCTGCCTTCCCGGCCGCTTTTAGTGCTCCATCAGCACCGAGACTCGGTGGGCAGACAGTGCAAAGCCAGCGTGGCTGGTGCATCAAGAGAAAAGGGGCTGGGGATGCGCTGGTGGCACA